CCTGCACCGTCAGCACAGAGCTGGTGCAGTAAATAAAGCCTTATCAGTGGAAATGCTTTTGAGCGTTAAGTGTGCATAGATTTTTTTCTCATACCCTATTTTACGTGGTAGTTGGGGTGGGGGCACTTTGTATTTGGCTGCCGAAACGGCCTTCTTCATTGTGCTTTTGTTTCTAGTAACTTCTGGGGTTGCCTTGTCATGGCTTGGTGATGCAAAATGGGCTTTTGAGTAGTCTTAGAGGAGCACTGGATGATGGTCCTGATCTCTGGTTTTGAGGTCTGCTTCAGGATCTGGTGTTCCCAGTAGGTGCATTGACTTAGAAGCATTGTCCATGATGAGCCCAGACCAGAAAATACCATCTCGTGCATTTTCACGTCCTGGAAATAGAGATGAGAAGTGCAGAGAACCCAAATCTGTGGGAGGAGGAAGGTAGACCCTGGGGCGCAGATCTGGCTCCTTGGGTTGGTGAGCAGAGCTTTGCCATAACTGCTCCAGAGCTGAGACTTTGATTTCTAAAAGCCTTCTGTGCAATACTAACCCTTCATTTGCAATGGTGAAATCTTAAGGCACAGGTTGGGTTGGAAGGGACCTTAAAGCTCATCCAGCTCCAACCCCTGCCATGGGCAGGGACACCTTCCACTAGAGCAGCTTGCTCCAAGCTGCTGTGTTCAACCTGGCCTTGAACACTGCCAGGGATGGGGCAGCCACAGCTTCTCTGGGCAAGCCTCTGACCAGTGTCTGCTGATGCTCAGGGACACTTGGGTTCCAGGAGAACCCAGGGCAGAGCACGTATCCTTGGGCTCCCACAGCTGGGTTGGGAGTGCCGGTGGTGGCCATCCCTGCCGGCTGTGGGAGCTGGGGAGGGAAGAGCATTGCTTTCCATTCCCACGGCACTGGGACTTGTCCCACCTGCTTTGTGGGCAAGGCAGCAAATTGCTGGGTGGTTTGGCTCTTGGAGAGAGGATGCCGAGGTTTAAAGGGGAAAGAATTAGTACCTGTGCTTGTAGGAACGAAAACCTTTCCCCATGGAACCAGCACAGCCAGGTGGTGTGGTTTGGTCCCAGCAGATCTTGGCGCAGAGGCAGGGGCTTTGCATCCCCTCAGACTGTTTGCTTTATGCCTTGGGTAGAAAGGTGTCTCGCCCGAGGGCTTCCATGATTTCTGCTGACTTCAGCCACGCTCCTCCTGGGGTTTAGCTGCCTCTTTGCCACGCCATCCCTGCAGTGCCTCTCCCTGGAACATCAAGCTGCCGGGACAGGAATTTTCCCAGGGCCAAAGGGAAGGGCTGTCGAAGGGCTTTGCTTATCTCCATGCCTGCTCCCAAATAGAAACCCTTCCACTCCCCAACGCTGCTGCCTACGGGCTGCTATAAATAACCCCAGGAGCACGGTTCAGCTGCAGCAGCTTTGTGCTGCATGGAGCCATGGCTGGAGTCAGGCCAAGAAAATGCCGCCTCCTAATTTCAGATCCGCTTTCTCAAAATAACTCTCGTGTTTCCTCCTCTTCCATTTTTAAACTTGGCTTTAAGAGGAGCCCACGCAAAATCCCAGCCTCTCCCTCCTCTGGTTTCGGATGCTCCCGCTGCCTCGTGGGGTCAGCTCGTCATCCCCGCGGGAGCTCACATGGCCGGGAAGTTGCTTCCCCCTCCCGATCCTATTTTAAGTTGCTTCAAAGGAAAAACAAGGGGCTGGAGTTTGCTTTGGAAGCCAAATGCTTTTTAGGCGAGAATGGAGGTTTTCCTAGTCTGCAGGGAGGCTTTTGTTGTTGGTGAAGATCTCCTTAGCTGCAAGCCTGTTGGAGGAGCATGAGATGGGGTAAGAGCATGGTCTGCCTGCCCGTGCCCCTGCCCATGGGGGACGGAGGTTCTTTAGGGGTAGCTGCTGCTGCCTGGCCTACCTGTGGGTCTGCGTTTGCACCCGTGTGCCCTGCAGGGACACGGATCAGTGTTTGCGTTCCAGCCTCACCTCTTAAGAGACATCAGTCCCACTGGAGATGCACGCAGAGGACTGGTGTGTGAGGAAGTGCCCAGGGTTTGCTCCTGCTGGTGCCAGACCCAGAGCCACTCCACTAGAGCAGAGTGACTCTGATGTAAATGGGAGCAAAATTCAGCCCCAGGGCTTCACTCCCTCTGCAAACGCTGCTGTTCCCAGGGCTGTAGCAGTATTCCAGGACTCTGTGGAATCGGGAAGAGGGGTCATTAGCTGCTTGCTCTGGAGCTGCACAGGGATTATAGAACTGCTGGGGTTCTTCATGCATCTCACCAGAAGTAATGGCTTAGGTTTGCTTCCCCGTGCATTTATTCCTGTTAAATAACAGGGATTGCAGGAATGGGTGGGGTTACTCAGCACATGTAGGACGAACCCTTTGTGTTCCTTCTACAGGGTCAATCACCAGTCCTACTTCTAATGAAATCAATATCGGAACCAGGTCCTAGGTGTTCCTTTGGCAAGGAAAGGATTGAACGGGGCAGCCAGTGGGCTTCAGCGAAGGTCCTGAGGCTGCCCTTGCACCTGAACAGTTTGAGGTTTGCTTGATTTCTCTAGCCAGGCTTCTGGCTAGCAGGGTCCCCAAGGTCCCCTCCGTCTGTCCATCCTTTGGGATGAGCCCCGGCCTGATGGGAACCTTCTGCTGGGTGTTGATGTGTCCTTCCCAGTTCAGCCACCAGCTCTCACCTCGGTCTGAGTGGCCTTTCAGACAGCCCATTACAGTCCTGCTCTGATCTGATAAATGCAGCAGGGAGCATCGACAATTACAGTGGGTGTCAAGTGTTAATTGGGCAGCTTTCAAGATAGAGGCATTTCTTTGTGTACGTACAAAGATATGACGTGCACGGAATAGCTTCTCCTCCCGATCTTCCATTCGGGAAGACGGGTGTATTACAGTCGGTTAATGCAAGACAAATTGTCATTCTTCTTGATTCACCACATGTTCTGCCTGTGGTGATTTGCCTCCGGGTTGTCTCATTAAGTTGTCTAAACATGGCAAATGCAGCAGCTGAACATACTCAGCTTCTTCTTGAGTTAATCGCATTGTACACACGCTCCTGCAGCAGCCGCGGTTCCAGGCTGCGCCATCCAGTGCTGCCAGAGCATCCTTCACAGGGCTGGTACCCAGGAGAGCAGGCCTATGGTGGGACCTGCTCCTACCCACAATTACACTGACTGCAATTAAATGGTTTGCTGATTGGTTTTGTCCCAGGTATGCATCACAAAAGATTTGGGTAAGCCAATACTTCCCCCTCGCCAGCGAGCAGTGGTGGTTGGCCCCGTCGCCCTCTTGGCAGCAAATGCAGAGTATTTTGTAGCAGTTTTAATGATCCCCTTGAAAAATCTTACCCCTGGTTTTTATTAAGACTTTCAGATGCCACAGTGCTGATGTTCTCCAAGCTCAGCAGGTTTTACAGCTCATGGAGACCAAACTATTAAGCTCTGGCTGGGAGTTCTCCATGTGATGAGTATTTCCAAGGGGCAAGACCCTGGGCAGGCATGGCTTGTTCCTGCTAATGGAATCAGGTGCACAGCAGCAGAAATGTCTAATGCTGCAGAGTGAGCCAGGCCAGGCTGTGTTTGGTGGGGTTTGATTTCCCCATCATCAGCGGGAGAATGCTTGCGGGGACGCAGACCTGGGTGCTGCATTAGCTGGGACTTGGCAATCCTGGTGGAGGATATCCTCTTCATGGAAGGGATCTTGAGTGGAAGAGGCAGGTGCTCTATAGCAGATGGGGTGTTTCATGAGCTGGGCTGGTTCGTGGTGGTGTTCAGGCCACGTGTGGCACTAAAGCTATGTGAGTGCTGTGGTTTGCAGACAGGTCCTGGTGCTGGGATCACTTTGCTTCCTCTGTGGGTCAGGTCCCTTCTTCCCCTTACGTGTCATGCAACCACAGAGGACACTTAATGTGGTGTTGTGACATAAAGGTGGTTTTGTGGGGGTGTTTGCTGGCCATGTGAGCCCCTGAAGCAGAGGGAGAGCAGTGGGAGCCAGACCCCTGGAACTGGAATCCCTTCCCTGCCCTGGGGGGCTTCACCCAGGCTTTGCCAAAGCCCCCAGAGCTCAGCCCTCCAGGGCTCTGGTGCTGACGGGGTTAAAATGATGACTGTGCTTCCAAAAAGGGGTTTCCCCCCCTCCCTTTAAATCCTGGGGAAGCCCAGCTCTGCCCACTGCTCCTTCACCCCTGTTTTAGGCAGCTGTGGATTTTCTCACCTCCCTGCCCCAAAATAGCTAAAATCACCTATTCTATTGAACAAACACCTCCAAAAATCCATCTCCTCAGCCCTGCTGCTAGCAGGTATTTGCCTGTATCAGCTCAGCCCTGTGGCTCATCATGATCTGGATGTATCAGACCTGTCAGTAAACCCCCCTTAAAGCCTGGCTTTTTAAGGAAGTGCTGTTTACTGAAAATGTCATCTTTTATTTAGGCTCCTGCTGCAGCCAACCCATGTCTTCTTTTCAGGCCTGTTTAATTAGTAACGGCAGCACAGCCCCTGACACATGTTCCTTGGTGGTGTTTTTTACCTCTAATAGGCATTAGGTAGCTTGGCTGGGGGTGGGAGGGAGCAGAGAAGGGGAGGGACAAGATGAGGAGCCAAGGGCAGCTCAAATCTAACATCACATGCTTGTGAAGTAATGAATCCTAGAAAGGGCATCTCTGCCTGCGCGCTGGCTCGTCCTCCCTCCTCCTTGATGGGCAGCCATACAGAGGTGATGGGTTCAGTCATCCCCCTTGCACCCAATGGGGTTGGGGATTCGGGTCGCTCCGCAGGCAGAGCTCAGATGTGGTAAAGTCAGGATAACTCAAGTGCCAGAGCCCTTTGCCTGTGGGGCTTTCCTGTAGGTCCAGAGGCTGATCTGAACCTTTCCATTCACTTCCAGGGTGGGATTTGTGGCTGCTCTGTGGAGGTTTGGGAAGGGGTTTTAGCACAGGGGAAGGGCTGGAGCAGGGGCTGTGACTGTAACTGATGGCAGAAATAACTTGGTTTTCTCTCTCCCCTTTCTCCCTGCAGAAGAAGGCAGAGGCTGCTCACCGGATCCTGGAAGGACTGGGTCCTCAGGTGGAGCTGGTGAGTGTTACCTCTCAATGCAGGCTTTCAGAGGTCCCTGGGTGGCGAGCACAGCACCCTGTGTGTGTGTCTGAGCTGTCAGAGGAAGCTGCTGCTGGCCCGGACCTCTCACTGTCACAGCACCAAGGCAGGAAGCGAAGACGAGTACTGAAACCCAGGCAGAGACACACAGCCCTCTTTGGAGGGCCTTAACCCTTAGGTAATCCTCATGTGCTGCGGCAGAGCTGGGTGATGGAAGGGACTCCAGCACAGCTTGCATCCACTTGGGATGCTGTTAGCTTCATTGGCTTCATCTCTCCTCTGTCCCACCCCACTGCAGACAGAGGAGGGTGCTCTGTAAGCACTGTGCTTACAGTGACGTGCAGGTACTGGGATTCACACACATCCTATTCCTGTCTCCCTCATGCACAGGACAGCTGGGAAGAACAACTTCTAATAAATTGCCCATTAGGGGCTGCCTCCTCATCCGGCAAAATCCAGCTGTAAATGAAGCGATTGAGTGCTGGAGGGGCGCCTGAAAACAGCCCCTGAGGGGCTGAGTCCTGAAGAAGGGTGCCTGGAGAAGCTGCATCCGCAGTGATGCTGCTGGAAGGATCCAAGGGGGACAGACGTATGTCTTGCACTGCCCCAGCCGTGGGGTGTGAGGTGGGAGTGAGCACAGTCCTGGGCAGCTGTAATTTACCTTGCCTTGTGGAGGTGGTACTAATTGCTGTCTTCCCTGGGTGTGTAAGGGAGAGGTCACAAGGGAATTAGTGCTCACTGCTACGTGTCGAAGCCCACTTCCTTGTTTGGGGAGGTAGTGCTCATTACTCTTGATTTGAGTCACCGGGGTCAAACCCTTTGCTCTCTTTCTGCTCTGAGGATTGGCAGTGCCTGGGGTTGGTGTTTCCTCATCAAAATATGTTACATTTCCTTTTCCTTCCTCCCCCTCCTTTTTGCCCTTCATTTCTCCCTTTTTTTAGGTCGTTGATGCTTTGTCCCTGGGTGCTGACACTGCACAGGGGGGAGCTGTAGCAGCACCCAGTGCACACTTCTCCTCTCTTGCCTTGCCTTACTCTCAGAGGGCAGGGGAAACCTCTGCTGAGAACACCCTGCAAAACCCCAGTTGGGTTCTGTGTGTGCCTTGCAGAATGTCTCATCTGGCTGCCCAGAGACACTTCCTATGGCCCAGCCCCCCCCGTTATGTTGGCCAAAACAGCACCCAGGACCTGCCAACGGCCTCTGCGAGGCAGGATGAATAGTCAGATCTGAGTTGGAAAGGAAGCAGCTTTGCATGCTCTGCCCGATGCGCACCCCTGTCCATCAGCCTCAGCATAGACACATCCGAGCCATCTCTTACAGGGAGGTTGAGCAGCCTGGTGCTAATCCTGTGCAAAACCTCTGCAAGCAGCAACGGTGGCTGTCAGCAGAGTGCAGGGTCTTGCGTTGCTGTGGGCTCTGGTTGTTGGGAGCTCTGGGTGTTGCTTTGCAGCTGCAGTGCTGTGGTGGATACACTTGAGCTCAGTAGCGGGGCAGCTTCCAGGGGCTGATGGTGTGAGACAAGAAGTCACGGTGGGGATGGGTTTAGTCATGGCAGAGAGAGGCCAGAGGTTACCACAGCGCTGGCAAACCACGGCTGCAAGCAGAGTGAGGTGGTGCTGCTGGCAGGATGCTGCCATGGCTGCATCCCCTCCTTGTGCTGCTGTTACTGAGGGCTGTGGTGGGGCTCTGCCTTCTGCCCTGCTGGCAGCAGGTTGTGCCAGGGAGGTTGTGTTTGCATGAAGAAAGAAATCCTGTCACCTGAGGACATTGATGGGCTTGTTGAGGCTCCTGTAGCATTACCTGGAAGAAAGGGTTCTGAAAGTAGTCCAGTGTAGGGTAAAATAGGGATTTACCCAGGCGTTTTGTGTCTGTGTTGTGGGTTTCCCATGAAGTTGGAAGCTGCTGGGAGATGGCTCTGGTGGGAAGCTCTAATTCCTGACTTTGGCCATTTAAACAGCTCCCCCTGAGCTTTCAGGCTTACAGCCTCTTCACTGAAACTGGTGTCCCTGGGTTGTACATCTCAAGGTAGCAGCAACTGTTTATTGATGATTCCTGGCTTCTCTCTGCTTTGACCTTACAAGATCTGGCCCTGCACCTTTTATCTTAGAGGTGTCACTCAGGTCTCATTCTCTTCAGAGGATCCTCAGTTTTGTCCTTGAATCCCTTTACCCATCTCTCCTTGCTGGTGCCCCTCCATCCTGTCTGCTGGGCTCTTCCCCCTGTCCCTGTGGTGGGAATCACCCCCTGCCCAGGCATCCCTGGGAAGCAGGGATCCAATTCAGGTCCCAGGAAGCTGGGACTCTCCTCTAGATCAGGAGAAGGTTGTGATTTAGTAAACCAGGACTGCTCATTTCATCCCTGTGGTGTGGTGGTACCATTTTAAGTACCCCAGGGAGAGGTGCCAGTGAGATGTGTAGTCTAAACACTGCAGTGGCCGGAAAGCAGTTGAGACCATTCAGTTTTAAAGAGCTTTCAGTAAATCCAAGGTGGTTTTCAGTAACAGCTTTGCATTGCAATTACATTTTTCTTGTATGTCATCCCCCAGAGAAATAAATTTCATGTCCCTTACCCTGGAGAAACACTGAGAATGTTTTGAACATGACCTTACCCATCTGACCTGTCAGCTTTGCTCCTGCTTACTCACTGAGGCAGATGTCATTCTGAGCAGGTTGGGGATGGCTCTGAGAGAAGGTGCTGTTTCTCAGTCCCTGCCCTGTTGAGAATAAAGATTCTCTTAACTCTTTAATCTGCGAGGTTATGTTCTCTATGGGGTAGGTAGAACTTGTCTCCTGGGTTTGCTCCGCTGCATGGGCTGAGTTAAAGTGCTCCAGTTGTGCAGACAGAGATCTTTGTGAGATGCTGGTGTCCCATGGATCTTGGATTTGAATCCCAGTTTCTTATTTGTGAATACTTGGGCATTTCTTTTAAAGTACTGTGTTCCAGTGCTTGTCTGTTAACACTTAGGTTTGGTAGCTAAGAATTTAGGTGCTTCTATACATCATAGATCAGTAGTAGTGGAAAAGAATGTGGTGAGCTGGGTGTCATCAGGGCATCCATGATGTCCACATGTGCATCTTCTAACCCAGGCAGTTACTCCACCACCTTCTGCCAGGAGAAGGTCTCTGTGGCTCACCACACACCAGGTTCTTTGCTGTGATTTTTATGAGCACAGAGGGAAGAGGCACTGTTTGTTACTCATCAGCATTTCCAGCTCCTGCACTCCTCTTCCAAGAAGCTGTCACTGGTCAAGGCCACCCAGTGATTCCTCCGGTCAAGCCTTTCCAGGGTGATGACTCTGGATGTGATGCTCCAAACCCACAGCTTGATTTCATCTCTCCGTGGCGCAGACCTGCTACGTGATGAGACAGATGTCTGTGTTCCTCTGAGCCTTCCAAGCATGAAGCGCACAGCCAGCTCCGAGCCTGGAGTTGGACTGGCAGATCTAAGAGGATTTGGGATAGAAATGCCCCTGAGGAACACAACGCACTGAGGTCTCCTTCTGGAGAACTGACCTGTCCCTCTCATCTGCCCTGGCTCTGCCATCACGGGGTAGCTGCCTGTCTCCTTGTTGGTGTCCCCTGGCACACTCAGCCCACTGTCCCCTGTCAGGGCAGCAGATGCCCAAGCAGTCCTCCTGGGTTGCAGCAGTTCATCTCGCATCTGTCTGCCTGGGCTCCTCTGCATGCCTTTTCCACATGGGGATTACATGTGCTTTCCCAGCAATGAGGGACATGTCCAAGGACAGCCAGGAAAAGAGGCTGATGAAGCTGCTCGTGTCAAGATGCAGTGGTGATGGGCTGCAGAGCAGGGAGAGCTACACCCAGTCTCCTTCCTGTTCCAGCAGGGAAAGGTGAGGCAGGATCTGTTTTTACAGGGCAGTTATAGAGACAAGCTGGCTGCGTGGAAAAACAAGTTCCTCTGCCAAGCACCTGTGATGGTGATGGGGAGATGCTGTGGAGGAGGTGAGAATTACACCTTCTTCAAACTGGAGGAGAGCGGGACCCACCTGTGTTTGCAGGTCCTGTCCTCTCCAGTGCTGCTCACTTGGCTGTGCAGATGTTCAGCAGCTGTTTTCTCTTTTCCTGTGTTTATTCTGAGATGAAATTGAGTGGACCTCAAGCCTCAGCTGTATGACCACAGTAGGAAGGTGAGCTGGTTTGTATGTAGCTGTGGCCAGGATGCTGCCTTCTGCCAGGACCTGGCTATCACACGTCCCCCTTAGGGGGTGGATTGTTCACAGCTTGTTTGGTGGAGGTTTGTGGATGAACTGCCTGAAGACTTGGACTATGTTCCTATGGTTGGACAGGAGCTGTGCTCATTGGGTGCCCAGTTGATGATGGCTGGGCCAGGGCAAGTTTTTTGTTAGCACAGCCTTGGGCATGTTCACACCAGCTTAGCTGATGACTAGAATAGCAGTGAAAGGCTTAATCCTGTGCACCCTGTCAGCCTGCTTATACAGACATAACTGGTGGCAGCTCCTGGAGCATGGCCTGAGCTCTTAATCACTATGGGTGGGATTGAGCATGGTTTCTGTGGCATCTCCCCCTTCCAGAGGTGGGACTCTGTACATTGGCATGTTCCCTGAAGGTGCATCACCCTGTGGATGGGATGGGAGTTATAGCAGGGGCAGTGACCAGGGATGGATCCAGCTCTTCTGACTCCCCATAGAAGGCCCTGTCACATCCCCACTAAGGGTGAGGGGTGCAGAGAAGCCCTGTGATTGGTGCTGGCATCTTGTGTTGGAGACAGTCGTGGCCACTGAGCTCTCCAAAGGGCAAACCGTGGGTCCTTCTGGAGCCCATTGCCCCTCTTGAGGGGCAGATAGGAGCATCACTCTCCGCATGGGTGCTGGGGGACCGCAGCGACATGCCTGGGGACCAGCCTGCCCCTGGCATTGCTGGAAACCACAGTGATGAGCACTTGTCCTGCCTGCAGTTCCTCACTCTGGCTCCCCGGGAGAGCTCAGGCAGGCTTTTGCCGTGTAGATATAACAACTTGCAGCACACAGGCTGCCTCTCCCCGCTCCCCGAGCCCCCCTTTCCCCTCGCCTCCCCCGTGCCGTATGTTCCGAAGCGCACTGCGTTTCCCAGCCCATGGATGGCAGGCACGTACTCGGCCGCGCCGCTTTTATCTGGACCACGTCGCACAGTGCTTGTTGTGAGCCGGCTCACTGGAGTGCTGCCGGCCCTCCCCCGGGATGAGCCAGGATGAGCTGGGATGCACCAGGACCAGCGCGGCGCTGCCGGGAGCCAGCACCCTCCAGTACAGCCGGGAGCAGGGATGTGGGGCACAGGGATGGGCGCCTGGGCTGCCGTGGCTCAGGGATACAGGGACCTGCACCGATGCTGATGGGTTTAAGTTTCTAAATGTCAGACTGTATCATTTATGCCTTCATTTTTCTTCTTTATTTCAGCCATTGTACAACCAGCCTTCAGACACCAGGCAATACCATGAAAACATTAAAATGTAAGTACTTGGCAATAAAGGCTATTTTAAATGTCAGGTTGGGCATTAGGCTGGAGCGGGAGGGATGCTAGCTCATTCCCAGACCCCGATTAAAGCTGCTGAGGAATTGCAAGCGTCCCTTTAGAGCTGGTGTTTTACTGCTCTGGGTGCCTGAAGCACAAACCTGCTGTAGGAGCAGCTCCAGGAGCCCAGCAGTTGGGAGCTGTAGCTTCAGATGGATGCTGAAGGTGCTGTTTGATGCCCTCAGCTGGGGTGGATGCAGGTCCTGGACCATCCTTTTGGTGTTTTCCCAGAGAGCACTCACCTTGGGTGCTTTATGCTGTGGTTTGTGCATACTGAAGTATAAATCAGCTGCTGGTGTGCGTGTGTCTGTGTGTTTGCATGCAGGAAAGATGAGGTAAAATGAAAAGTTGCAATTATGGTTAGATTTTCATGAAACACCTCTTGAATGTCTAATAACAACTGGTTGTGTCAAAGACACTCACCGAGACTCGGCAATCATCTGATTTGACTTATCACCTCAATACACGATTTAATCATCAACCTGCACTGAATAACACAGTGACTTCCTGAGCACAGAAGAAATACATCAGATAATGAGAGTAGCGGTAATTGTGATTATTGTTGGAAATCTAAATAGTCAAACCAGATCTTGAAACTTTTATCTGCCTTTGAATGAACCAGTGATTGCTCTGAGCTGCTTGCAGTGTGCCTGTTTTGGTCCAGGCTTGGTCAGCTGGCGATTATCATCTTCAATAACCTGTTAATAGTCTTTTGCTCTTCACTGGTGTGTTAATTGATGCCAGGGGATCATAGGGAAAGAGTTAATGTACCTCTGCACTGCTGCGGGGGAGCGTGGTAGGTGCTGCTGGGGTTTAGGTGCTCTGCATCCCCATCAGGGCTGTGGGGAGGAGGGTTTGGTGACGTGACCCTGCTGCTCGCTGCCCGCTCGGTTCCTGCTCCACCCAGAGCTTCCTGTGTTGTCCAGGCAATGCACTCGCTGTGAAACACTCAGACCCCACAATCACCCCAAACCTTCCAGTTCCTTCAGGGCTCCTTAGTGGATCCCTGAGCACTTGTACTGCTGGTGCTGGGCATTCCCCATTTAGGAACCCCAAATAGGAGGCTTCTGTTGGGGGTACTCAGTGCTTTCCTGGATGTTGTGTGTTAAAGCAAGGTGCTGTTATGCCATGTGCTTCTGGGGCAGGGCAGCATCATCTCCTGGGGGTTGATGGGGAGGGCAAGCAGACAGAGAAATTGGTGGGAAATGATAGCTTTTCCTGCAGCTGGAAATCCCAGTAGCTTTTTCCTTCCAGCTGTTTCCTTCTGTTGCTGATGCATTTACTCCAGTCTTTTGAGTTTGGCAGATGTTGCCACAAGTCTTGGGCAAGGACACCCAGTGGATGACAGTTCTGCTACTGGGAGAGGCAGTGATGCCTGGCAGTGGGTCTGTGCTCCCTGCAGCTTGCAGCTCCCTGCTCTTGGAAGTCTGTTTTGTTGTCAGTTCAGGGTATTGATGACTGATAAACCACCTCATACAGCACCACGGGCTGGCCCAAGGATGTGCTCTCCACATTGCTGGTTGTAGGTCACCCCTGGCACTGATGGTGTGTGGCAGTTACTATCTCTTAGAGTCCCTGACCCCCTTCTTCTCTTGAAGGGCTCCACGGCCATCATAAGTCAGGCACTGAAGGTGGCAGTTTCAAGCCAATTGCTGGTTTTGCCCTTGAAAGAATGAGTTAAAAGTAGATCCAGGCTTCACCCACTCCCATTCCCCTGCCAATATTTGTGGGTTTGTGATCACATTTTCCTGTGATTTAAATTATTTCCTGTTCTTGGTTGCTGCCTGAAAGATGGGCACAAACAAGAGGGAACTGACTGCACAGGTCAGGAGGGAAACCCCATCAAACCAGCTTCCCATGGCATCAGAGCAGGTACTCCTCTCCATCGCTTCCTTTGTAGGCATCTGTAGGGTTATCCTAACCCTGGGCAGCAGGCAGCCCTCCCATGCAGCTGTAGTTGGTGGCAATAGACCAGGAGAGGTTGGAGCGGGCAGGTTTGGGGTTAATGTTCACTGTGATTAATGCTGCAAGAAAAAATGGGAAGGAAACCACATGTTTTAATGAAAAGCCTCCGTCTCCTCCTTGCAATTAGCTGCCTTCAGCTGGTTATTGATGCCAGCAGAGTGCCTGTACGGATCTAGGTCAGCAAAAGGCCCTCGAGCGATCTGGGCTCCAGATGTTTGCTGCTTTGGACCATGGGCCTCTCTTGGAGGTCCTGGGGTCTGAACTGCAGTGTGCTGCTTGTTGATGGATGTGCAGAGAAATCGGTGTGTCCTGTTCTCTGTGGTGTTCCTGCTGCACATAAAAGGATGTTTGTATGCTTGGGAGGAAGACACAAAATCAAGATTTCCAAGCAAATAACTCAGGGATGTTGAGCAAGAGGAGAAGATGTTAAACTTCAGTGTTTTGACCAAGTCATGCTTGGATGTTCGTGACCTACAACTGCTCTGTGGGCTGCATTTGAAGATACTTTCTGTTCTCTCCTTGTTCATAATATGTTTGTGCCTTTCTGCTCTAGAAGAGCAGCTTCTGCTCTATAGCCTGAAGGTAGCTGTTTCAGCAGGAGATGGAGCGAAGCCTTGCAGTGCTGGGAGGCATCAGCCAGATGCATTAGAGCAGCAAGACAGCTGCCAGGACACCACAGGTTGTATTTGTAGTTGGATGCAGGTTGTTCTGAACAATTTCACCCTATGCAGGTTTAGCCATGGTGAGAAAGCCTTTTGGCAGGTGGCTGGAAAATCATCCAGGTCATGATTCTGCCCACAAAACCTCACTGTATTTAGTGCTGAACAGCCGCTGCTCCCACGTGAAGCTGGTTTGCAGCCTCGTACCTGGGCACAGGGGAATGGCCAGGCTGTCGCCTTTCACAAAGACCTTTTTTCTTCTTTCAAAGCACTTCCTGGGGTGGATTTCTTTCCTCAGCTGGGTGTGAGTGTCAGTGGGAAGGCATTTGAATATCACAAAGCCAGAATTCCTCGATTTCTCTCCAGCGATGCTCTCCGCCTTGCAACACTAGTTTAATTCTTCCTGCTTGTTTGCTTTGCTTTTCAGCTGGGATGAGTCACTTATGCTAACAGAGCTGACTGGGGAGTTACGGGGAGAGTTTCTACTCCCACTAAAACGCTGCCTCTCTCTTATTTTCATGGAGGTTTATGGCCTGTCTCCTATTCAGTACAGTTAAAATTAATTTCATGCCCCAGTTCATTCCAGTGTTTGCAGCTTCAAAAGCTTTTAAGTCCTATTTAGCTGCCTCGCTGTGCTCTGTTACTGTCTGCTTGGGTCCCTTTGGTTCACCTGTGAGTGCAGGCTGTAAGCTAACATGGTTAATTTTGTATGCTACATCTGCCGCGTGAGCTCCGGCACCTCTGAGTGGTGTGTTCCAAAGACTTGACCTAGCTTTGATGGAAGCATGGCCCTTCTGTTTGAAATACCTGCTTTGTTGGAGAGAAAGGCTCTGCCACTCAGTCCTCAAGAAAGAAGAGAGCAAGACGGCGTTTAGTGCCCTCATTTTCATAGGGATGGGATGAGCTTTGCCTCCATAGCTAGCTTGGATCTTCCGTTTGGCTTTACAATGGACTGAGAAGTTCCTTCAAGCCCCAAACACAGCTGGAGGCCACTTGAATGATTCTGCATCAGCTGAGGAAGTTGCAAAGACCCTTTGTTGAAGTACAGCAGCAAATGCAGAGGATGCTTGTGCACCACTTAAGCACCAGTGCATCTGCTCTGGGTCTCTTATTTCAGTGGTTTGCCAGCTGGATGTACAAGGATGAAAGCGGCTCTTCTGCCCTGCTGTGGCAGTGATTTTACGTGTTCTCCAGGCTGCTGGCACCAGAGATATGAACCTCCTTTCCTCGCAGTGTTTGAGAAATGACAAGATGTTGTTCACATGAGCAGGATCAATTACCTGCTGCCTACCTGTCTGTTCTCCAAGGGGGCCTTCATCTCTCCAGCAGGAGATTCCTACTCGGTCAGCCATGAAAAGCAGCCCGGTAGGACTCTCCTCCCCCCTTTGCTGAAGCAGTCATCTTGAAATCACAGTCTGTGGGGTTTGTGTTTGAAAGCGAAATGTGAGCTTCCGAGCCTTGACAAAGCGCAGGGAAGGAAAACTGAAAGCCCAGGGTAAGTACTGGTGCAAGGTGCTGCTCACAGGGGTTGCTTTAAAGCTTTCCTTCCAGAGCTGCTTGCTTTTACACTGAAATTCGGAGGTGTTGGGGTGAAACCAGGCTGCATCCCCTCGAGATGCTTCGAGGGTGTTGGACAACCAGGGTCTGAGGGTACAGTGAAAACAGATCAAGAGCTTAGTGTGGTTTGTTTTCTGGTGTGTCCACATCCAGCAGCAGAAAGCCGTGTGCGCTGTTAACGTTGGCACATCTGGGTTGCTCTCTGCAGCTGATAGCTTTTGATTTGGGGGGTGGATAAGGAGACTTTGCAGAATAAAAGCCTGAAGTCAGGAATTTCAGAGGTTTAAGGGCTTCTGAATATCTTTTTCTTTTTAATATCCTCCCCGTTACCCTTCTCCCCAAAGAGCAGTGCAGCTCCCGCTTTCCAAATCACTTGTCACTCTGGAAAATTTAAGTGATCTTTTCATTACTGGCTGTTTAGGGGTTTTAGTAGCAATGTATTGCCTCTAAATTCATAGTTGAAGCCTGACATGTAGCACAAATGCTCTTCCAAACCCTGTCATTATTAATGCATTCTCTTTCGGGTCTTTTTATTAGTGCTTGTAGACATTTTCCTCATCAGAAATTCACCTAGCAGCTCCCCGCTCATCTCATTCAAGGTTTCTCATCTCTTTTATTCTCTGTTGGCATGCACTAGGGCAGAAGTATTAGCTTGTGATGAATTACTAAATGATGGAGACACACACTGCAACCTTCTGCTGCCTTCTCTTGCCAGTAAAAAGCCAAGTACTGTTGTTTGGGTGGGCTATCTTGCAGCACTTGGGTTTGCAGTGTCAGCTTGGGCTTTGAGGGAAGGCAAAGGTGGCTTACCAGGTGCTTCTGTGCTTGGACTTGTTTTGGTCCTAACCTCATAGTGCTAAAGGGGATGGGCATTTATTTCCAATCTCATGTTAAGGACTGTGGAACTGCTGCCCAAGGGACTCACTTGAGCAGCTCAGGAGGAGCATCTTCCCAAGGAGGTGGCACCATGGGGACTTGGATGGGCTGTGCTGGGGGTCTGGCCAGGGCAGGCTCTGGTACCAAAGCGCCCATGTTTGCTGAGACATCTCCTCCTTGGAGCATCTCACTGGCCTCAGCGTGTGAGCCACCAGGTGAATTAACAATGCAAATTAGTTATATGAATTATAATTATTATTAATGAGTTATTGTGATGGCTTTGAGTGCATTTTGGACCTGCAGAGGACATGATCTGAGAAGCTGGGAGACCTCCAATGGCTTCTTTTTCTTTGAGTGTTGTTTCTGAGCACAAACACAGCCCGCCTGACTGCACATCCAGAGTTACAGCCCTCTGCCACTCCGCTCTCACAGGCACTAATGGTTCTGGGGGTTTAGTCCATCCCAGCGCAGGTCTCTGGGGTAAATCAGCTAAAGATCTGCTTTGCTGTTCATCCCCAGAAAGCATATCTGACTATTGCAGGGAAACTGCTCCAAACAGCCGGCTTTCCCGGAATGTGCCCTGCCCTGGGGTTAATAGGTTGCAGTGTATTACCAGCTGGAGCTGTGTGCTCCGGCCATTCCAGAGCAAGCAGATGAATGAGCGTGATGACCCATGAGCAGCGTGACCTGCTCCCTGCCCTCTCTGCAGGGCGTCTTGCAGCTAAGAGATGGGATGGCATCAGTGACTGCCCTGAGCTGTGGCTTGGGATCCTGACATCAGGAGTGGGCATACTGGGGGGGACACAACGTTTCTGTACCCTCTCCATTGCCTCTTGTTTCACCTTGGAGCGTTCTCCTCGTGTCCCATGGTTTGCAGCTCTCCAGTCTCTCAGCAGTGCTTTGTTTGGCTGGAGTTGCAGGAGGCTCCTCTGTTTCCGACCCTCGCCTGCGTGATCAATCTTGCTGTACAATGGCTTTGCCAGCTGCTCGCTGCCTCCTTCCCCGCCGCTCTTCGCAGGCTTGATCCCTACTTTGTTTGCACTGGCTGCCTGATGAAAGACGTTCCTGTGTAATGAAATACCCCTGATTAGTTCTGATCAAATAGCAAACTTCCTTTCATCTCGCCTTGCCCCGGCTGAAGGTCTCTGCAGGCAGGCTCAGCCAGGTGTGCATCGGCTCTTTGTACCCTTGGGAGTCTTATCCCAGGGCTCTGGCAGTGTCCACACGTGTGCGCGCACTGCACCGACACGCATGCGTGCGCACACATCCTTTAGAGAGCACAGCCAAGTGGTTCGTGTGGACCCGAGCCAAGTAACTCAGAAGTCACAGTTGCGGCTTCTCCCCTTGACTGGCTCCATTGTGAAAGCCAAAACACAAACCCGACCTTGTGCCGAGCCGGTTGAGGTGGAAGCGGCTGCTCCCACGGGGCTCCCATTGCTTTGCTCCGAGTGGGAGATGTGTTTCCCCATGGCTCTGAGAACCACGCTCAGGTGTGGGGCTCACAAGTTTGGGTTGTGCAAGGATGAAAAGCTCTTGCAGCATCACTCCTCACATTATAGATAGTGTTTGAATCCTGCTTCCCGCACTGGTGGGTTTGGTTTGCCTTGGTTGATCCCCGTTTCCTCCTCCTGCCTGTCAGTGCCTGTGGGGAAATGCTGGGTGCTTGTGGGGCTGCCCCAGCCTCCCCACGTGGGTTGTGCCTGGTACTGAGGCTCTTGATGCACTTGTTCAGTTGATAACTGGCCCCCAAAGTGAGGGACCTGATGCTGTTCAGAGCCTCTGCCACCACAGACTCTAAATGGGATTCTGATGTGGGGAAAACCACATCCATGAGTCCATTTTGGGGACTGTGCCTGGGGTCTGCAGAGGCTCGCAAGGTCAGTGAAGGTCTGGAGAAGGCTGTGGTGGTTGTGTGACCCACATTGGCTGTTCTCCACTTCCCTGCAGAGGAGAGAAGGTGCAGGAAAAGGTCCTCTGGTGACCAGAGGGCTGGAATAGCTTTTGTCATGGAGAGTGTAACTAGATGTGGTGTCCTGACTTTGCAGAAGAGCTGCCTCCAGAGGGAAGGATTAGACTGGGGCTGCACTGCAGCAGGCAAGTGGGAAATACATATTGACTGTGTCATTGCAGTGCTGGGGAGCACTGTGTGAAACCGAGCCCACCAGAAAGGTCTTTCCCCATAGGTACACAGGGAGCTGAGGAGCCCAGGGCAGAAATGCAGATGATTAGATGCATTGTTGGTGACGGGGATGGGAATGAGCCGTCTGGCAGGCTCCGTGTCTCACTGCAGCCACCCCAGCCTGCCTGAGCATCACGAGGAACCCGCATGTCCTCCTGACCCGGTGCAGTGTGGCTGTGCCAGCCCAGCAATACTTCAAACTGTCCACAAGAGTCACTGTTGCTTTGTCTAAGGAGCCTCCCTCCATTCCTCCTGCCTGTGAACTGCCTCATTTCCTCACCCTGTGTTCAGGTCTCCATCCATGGAGAGAGCAGCATTGCAGGCGAGGATGAAGGCTGCCGAGGAGGACGATGGAGGGTGGTTGATGTGCTGCGAGAGTGACCTTTCCCATGTGCTCTTCCACACGGGTTATTCCCGTGCAAGACTCCAGCAGACAGCCCTTACCTTCCCTGGGCTGGGCTCTTTGATGTGCTCAGGGAGCACAGCGTGTGCTTTGGAGACCGGTGGCCCGAATTAACCTCCCTGCAAATGGTTTCCAAGTAACAGCAATACTTGCAGCAAGATAAACTGCGAAGCCGATTTATATTTACCAAGATTGTGTTAACCTTTGAGAGGTTGACCTCATGCAAAAACAACAACCAACAAACCCCAAAGATGAAGTGGCAAAAACATGTAGGGCATGAGGGGGGGTTGTTGTTGTTTTTAATGCTTTCACTCTCTGATTACTTCAGCCTTGGTGGTGGTAAACATAAACCTGCTTTCAAGGCAGTCCTGATTTTTGCAGCTGTGGAGCCATTAAATCTTTGCCTGTATTAGCACTTTCAAGGTCAGCCATGATGCAAAACTCAAGGCAAGCCATCAGCTGTGTGAGAGATGTTAATTGTCTTCATTTACCCTCCTGGTTCCTGCTAACAGACCCAGCAGCAGGGTGTCAAAGCCCCCCCCACACACCTTGCTGCAGAGTGTCACCCAGGTTGAGGGAGGGAGGACAGGGGTTGATTTAGCTGTGCTGGCCCCAGGGGACAAGCTATGCCCCTTTGGTGGGGGCCATCCCACACATGATCATCGTGTGGCTTGATCAGAAAACCTGTGTGGATCAGGTCTGCTCCGCAAGAGGCATCAGCCCCATCACTTGGCTGTGCCTTCTGCTGGTGCTGCTTGGAAGTGGGAGTAGATCTGGGGCTGAGAGGCTTGAGCTGGGGATCCTGGAGTCTGTTTCTTGCTGGTAGCTGGTGTTTTCCATCTGTTGGAGAGTTACGAGTGCCACTTGCTAGTGCTGCCTTGGAAGGTCTATTTTTGCACCAAAGCATTGAAGGTGAAGTCAAAGGGAATGAAGATGTGCAGCTCAGGCGGTGGTCAGTGACTTCGTGTGTATCCCATAGCTCTGGTGACTAATGAAGAGGGGAAGACAGAAGTTACAAAATCCAAATGGTACTATTAAGAACTAGAATTAAGCCTGATATTTTTCCTCCTTGATAAACTAAGAATTGTGATGCTTTCTGTAATGTTCTCCATCCCCAAATTTAGCCAGCGCTGCCCCCAGTCCTCTCTCTAAGACCCTCTGCCCCTTCCCAGCTCTTGCTGCTGCTGAGGTCTAGGGATTTATGGGGAAAGAGGGTGTTTTCTCCCTTCCCCATTATCCAGGCAGGGAGGGGAATGAGGAAGGAGCAGGGATGTCTTTTCCTTCTGCTAAATCCTGCAGAACGTGCCTACATGAGACTGTTAAGCTCCTGATCAGTAATTACACACTGCAGCTCTGCCTTTAATCGGGATAAGAGACTTAAGGAAACTCCTTTGCCCCTGGTCTCTACCTTTTACCTAGAGATTTTATTGCTGTGGATAATAGTAACAGGAACAACGGCAGGAGATCAGCTCTTGGGTTTGTGTTAGGCTCTGGGTGCTCATGCAGCCTTTCCAGCTCCCTTCTGCTTTGGTGCTGCTTCTCTCTAAGCAGTTATGTCATGCTGTCTGTAGCAAGTAGGAAGAAGAAGAAACCAGGGGGTGTTAGGGCAGACGCTGGGTTGGTTGTGGTTGCAGTGGCCAGTTTCTCTCTTGAGGTCCTCATTCTGCAAAGTGGCTGGTTTGTTTGCAGTGGGGTTAGGCACAGCTCCAAGAAAGCAAGAGGTTAGGAGATACGTGATGCAAGCCCTGCTGCAATCCTGCCTCCTTATCAGCACCTCGGAGTCCCCAGGGTGCATAACCCCTCGGGAGTGTGTGTGTACTGACAGCTCCATCACTGCTGGCCCTGGGGACCGGGGCACAGGGTGGCCTATTATTTGGGGAGCCACCTCCTGCCATGCAAAGCTTGGCCTCGGCCCCCCAACTCTTGGGACCCCATTGGGTTTTGCACATCAGAAGGTGAAGTTAGCCATGGAACAGCCTGATAAATACAGCACATGGTAAAGGTTTTCAGAACTGGGAGTATATGGATGTAATGCTCAGCTTTAGTCCTGGCTTTACCAACAGATGTGGGTGAGGTCCCCAGATGACCACATTTGCTGCTCTGAAGTTGATGCAATTCCAAGTTAAGGTGGAAAGCTGCGCTGCGAACTCCCTTGGGAGTGGGGAGAGCCAGGCTTTGGATTTGAGCTGCCTCATGAATCAGTTCTCATCTTGTCTTTCTCTTTACAGAAACCAGGCAATGCGGAAGAAGTTAATTTTGTACTTTAAGAGGAGAAATCATGCTCGCAAGCAGTGGGTAAGCGATTCCCTCAGACTTTATGTGTAGTGAGCAACGTAATTTATTATGTGAGAAAGAAAAGGACGTTTCCCAGCAGAGAGGTGCTGGAGCTCAGTGCTTTGCTTGTTGCATTGCTGTGGCATCTCTTATGCTTAAAATAACTTGGAGAAAGGAGAGGTCCCTGATCCTGCTGCAGGCAGCACCTCCCTCCCTGTGGAGACAACACTTGGGGTTGGCTTAATCACAGCGAGCCCTTCACTGATCTCAGAGAGCCTATTCACAGCGTAAATGTCTATTTTGTGAGTAATTGAACCCAAAGAGAGGTGTGAATCAAGCTGACCCTGCTTCCAATAAATGGTCTGAAGCCTGATCTGACTGTTTCCAGTTGACCACAGGGCAATGTTCTAGGAATTTGTGGTTTAAAACAAAACTCCAGCTCTGTGCTGGTTTGTTTCTAGGCGGCTTTGCCTGCAGTATAGTTCCAGCATCCTTCAAGAAGATGGTTCTTAGTTAACTAAGGGGTAAGGTGGGGTTTATTATGAGACTTCAAAGGTATTTGTTGCAAGTGCCTGGTAGACAGAGGAGAAAGTTCAAGTGGGATTTACAGAATTATACATTTTTGTTGCCTGCAGGAGTTGCCTGCAGGAGCTGGGAGGCAAAATCAGTGCAAAAGAGGAAATAGAACCCCAGACTGGTTTGGGTTGGAAGGGACCTTAAAGCTTATCCAGCTCCAATCACCTGCCATGGACAGGGACACCTTCCACTAGAGCAGCTTGCTCCAAGCCCCTGTGTCCAACCTGGCCTTGAGCACTGCCAGGGATGGGGCAGCCACAGCTTCTCTGGGCAGAAGCAACCAAATGCCAGAAGCAACCAATGGCCCCACCAGGAAGGTGGATTTTTCCATGAAGGGTGATTCAGCTCGACGCAGGGCTTCACGTTTTATGCGGAAGATGCAAATACTGGTTCCTGCCTTGGTCTCACTGCTCCTGGGCAGGCTCAGGCGCTGGTGTTGCCAGTGGTGCAGGTCAGTGGCTTCACTGCTGGTTTTGGACACAAGTGCTCTGGCTTGGAGGAATTGCTGGAAAAATTCAGAATAATAAGCCTGGGAAGTGGTTTGAAGGCCCTGCCTTTAGAAGTAGCTTTCAATGCTGACATTTCTGAGCCAGCAATCACATTATTTTCTTATTTATGGTGAAAAAGGCATGTTCCTTTCCTTTCCCATGCTTCATTCCCCCCCATTTTATAGCAGTCTTCCAAAAGCAACAGATCCTGCACTCCAAAGGCTTGGTTGTGGCTCCCTTATATGTCCAAATCCATGATAAAACTTCTCCCAGGTTTCTAGCAAGGGGCTGCAGGTCTTGATGCAGCATGGGCATGGGTGCTGCTCAGGGTGCCTCGCTTGCCCCTCCTGAGGACTGTTGTGGGAAGCAGATTGATATTCCCTTCCTCAAAGCAGGGATTGTAAAGCACCATGTGGCTTTACTGGAGCCCAAAGGGAAGTGCCCAGGAGCTGCTTTCTGGTGGAAGCAGCTTGTTCCTGCGCTAAATCTGGAGTGAGCCCTTCTGTTGTGAATATCAAGGAGCTGGGGGAAAAGGTTTAATGAGGCTGCAGGAGCACGGTTCCTAAAATACGGCGTGCGCTGAAGTCGCCTGTCATGCAAAATAGGTGCATTTCTGCCAGCCAGTTTATTCAGTGTCCTTGAAAGGGGATTTTTCAGTTTAGGGAAGCATTTTGCCTATTCTACAAAATAGGCAACATACGGTTGCTGAATTTGCAAAGTGAATGCATTTGCTGATTCTGTTTGCAAAATGGGTTCGCTTAGCTATTTTTCTGCCGGTTTTGTAGCAGACCCTATTTTTAGCAAAGCCCATCTACGTGCCAGTGTTTCTTTCTGGCTCTTTTGCTTTCTGGGGTGTTATCACTGCCCCGGGCTGGCTGGAGCAGGGTCAGAGCTTGGTCTCAATAGGGTCTAGCCCTGAGAGCCCCACCAGAGGGTGTGCAGGGCTTCCTTCCTCCTGCCTCCACCGAGGTTGGTTGATGGAATTGCCATCAGAGGGGTGATGCTGCAGAGAGAGAAGGGTAAAGGGGGATGTTTTGAGTGTAAGGCGTTTATCTCCATCAGCCAGGGAATAAAAACTGTGGGGCTCGTATAGGGATTGGACTGGTTCCTCCTGTTACCTTCACTCTTCCCCTCCTCTCCGATGAGCTGCTCCGTTCCCTGGAGCTGTGAGAGCGTGGGCTGCAGGAGGGCTCGGGCTTGGCACAGCCTACAAACTGCCTTCAGCTGCTATGGCAGCGTTACTATTCATCCATTTTTAGACACGCATGTCAAGTCCGATTTGGCTTGCCATCACTTACTTGTGTGATTGAGAGGCTGATGGGCTGGTGAGCCCAGCCGGGAAGGGGGGCAGAGGAAGCACCGATGCTAAAAGCCGGCACAGATGATTGCTCAGGAATGAACATGCTCGCTTAAGGCTGCTCAGAGGATGCTCAAAGAAGAAGGAATAGACTCCCAAAGTGCTTGACCAGGAGCTTCTCCTGGTGATTCAGCTGTGAAATCTGGGGAATGCACGGTGCTCTAAGGTGCCTGTAATCTTGGCTTTTGAATGCTGGCAAAAGGTTGCAGAGAGCCTGTATCCCAGCTGGACAAAAAAGCACTAGACAGGGATGCTGCAGCCCAGCCCTGCTGCGGTGGGGCTTGAAGCTTGTGTGGCAGGGAAGATTTCTTTGCCCCATGGTGGGAAGGGGCTTAAGAAAGCAGATATGAGCCAGAAGTGCTCAGCTGGTCCATAACAAAGCCAAAGCCATGCTCTGCAGGGCTGAGCTGTGTGAGTGGGGAGCTTTGGTCCTGCCCACCCTGCTGCCGGGGTATGAGCTGCTGGGGAAGTCAGCAGCGTGACGTTGATGCTGTTTTTTCTATCTGCAAATACGAGTTCCTTAAAAGAGGAATTCTGCATCAAGCTTTCACCGAGTTGTCCCAGAGAGTGCAGGAAAAGGAAGAAAAGGAACCGGCAGTGAAGCAGCCTGGCAGCTGTGCCAAGTGGCAACGATGTGTGACCCAGCACCAGCTCATTCCCACGGGGAGCAAAAGACCTTTCAAAGCCTCAAAGCTTCTCACCAGGCCAAGCCGTCCTCGTGCTGGGCTGTCCCCTGGCTGTGCCACGGGCTGGCACACAGCACAGAGCACCCGCTGCATCCCAGCACCGAGCCTTCATAAACTTTGCAGGGTATTTTTAGCCTCTTCCGAATGCGATGCTCTGAAAGCAGGAGGCTGGAGCAGATTTGCTGGCAGGGTGGGAGCTCCTGTGTTCAGGGGGCTGAGAGCATCACTTCGGGAGGGGTAGGAATGCAGCAGCTGGGATTTCTCCGAGCTGTTGGCATTACCTATAGCGTGAGATTTCCCTTGGTGGCATTTAGGCCATTTTTATTCTTGTTCTCATTCCTCACTTTCATTTTCTGGCTGTTTCCTTCAGTTCCTCTAGCCAAAACCCAAGCATCTCCTGTGCGTGCATGTGGGGCAGGAAAGCCTCTGGCTCTGGGTGCACAAATGGGAGTTAGTTTATGAGGGGGGGGAATGTTAGTCTGCATCAGGTTTAGGGTTTGAGGAGCTTTGTCCACCCCACGTTATTGTTGGGGTGCCTCCAAAGGGCCATGGGGATCACAGCATGCGTTGCTGCGCTTCAGTTATTGCCTGGTCCAGTGCCGGTCCTGAGCTGCCTGTTCTGGAAAGCAGAACACGGCGGGTGGGAGGCGACCTGGGGTTTGCCACTGATGGTTTTGCAGTGACATCTGCTTTCACTTCCTGATCTGGGGCCTACGAGGCATGTGTTTCACTCCGAATGAAACCTTAAAAGCCCCTCTGGTCACCCAGCTGCCTTCACGTGAGGATGGACCCCGTCACTCTGTCACTGCTGTCTCCTTGGTGTGGGCCTTGCCTGCACATGGGAATTCTCCTCTAGGAAGAGAGTGGCCAGAGGAGGCAGGAGCAGTTAGAGGCTTGTTTGGGGAGGTGTTTTAAGTGATATTTCAATGTCATGGTTATTGGGCCAGTCCCATAAATACGAGGGAGAAGTGCAGTGCTAGACCTGTGTTGGGTGGCTGGCCATGCGAATGTCACCCAGAAGGACCTGGCATGGAAACCCCATGCAGAGCCTGGGTTTGCCATCGGTGGGGATGTGCTTATCCTGCTCCTGGGCCTAAAAGCAGGAGCAGCAACTAGAGAAATGCTTCTCCTTTCCAGGATGGTGGAGGAGCTGGTGGCATCACCACGCTGCATGGCCTTGGTCAGCCACACTGCATGAGTGTCCTGGTTCAGCAAAGGTGTTGGGGCTGGAAGGAAAAGCCTTGAAGGGTACCTGATGGCCTGTTTTGAGCATTCACCCTGGGTTTGATCACAGACCCTGGAGCGTGTCTGTGTCCTAATGAACCGTATTCCTTTAAGCACCGTGACTCACGCTCAGCGTGAGCAGCCATGGAAGGACAGGCCTGGAGGAGCTGCCCTTCCCCGGCAGTCTCCTGAGCTCCCTCTCCCTCTGCCCCTTCAGGAACAGAAGTTTTGCCAGCGCTATGACCAGCTGATGGAGGCCTGGGAAAAAAAAGTGGAGCGCATTGAAAATAACCCGCGGCGCCGTGCCAAAGAGAGCAAAGTGCGGGAATACTATGAGAAGCAATTCCCGGAGATCCGGAAGCAGCGGGAACTGCAAGAGCGCATGCAGAGGTTAGAGGAGAAGCGGTAGGAAGGGGCTGAGCTGGTATCAGACAGCCTTTCTCTTTTCTATGGGGATGGGCATGGGGCTTGTTTGCGGGAGGAGCGGGCTGGGGTGACTGTCAGTCCCGTTTCTCCCTGTCTGGTCAAAGCAGGAGCCAACGGACGAGCAGCTTTGCTGCTTTTTCCCCAGGATGGCTCAGCACAGGGCCAAAAGAGAAGGAAAAATGTCAGGAATGTGGTTGCCTGCGTCCCCTCTGCTGCTGACCTCCTGGCTGGCCACACTGGAGCAAGGGGCAGCTCTCTTGTGTTAGCACCTGGCTAGGACAGTGCTAACTATTGCCGTAGTGGTGGGCCCAAACTAAGATGTACGAGACCATTTGGTCATGTTGGTTATTTAATACATGCATATGCTTTGATCAGAGCCTGGGCAGGGGTAAGAAACGTGTGGAAGTTAATAGGAATGACTACAAGTAATAGGGAGGGAGCAGAATGTCCTCTGTCTCTCCCATCCCCTGTCCAGTTTTTCCACCTCATTGGGAGCACAGTTTGAGGTCACATTATTCTGTGCCAGGAGGAGGCATGGATCCATGATCTTGCTGAAAACTCTCCATCCTTCCCATTTCAGTTCCAGGATCTTGCCCAGGGACAGCTGATGTGTGCAGAACCCAAACCCCCTCTGCCAGCACCTCATCTTATGCCCCACTAACAGCTAGATGGGCTCAGACTTCCTAATTAGTGGCTTTATTTTGTCTTAAAGAGACAGGGAGAAATGGTACTGAGGAAGAAATGTTTTAATTTGTTACCTGCTTAATAAGAGAAGTTTTAATTCCATGGGGCTTGTGGCTGTTACATTAAATGATACTGGGGGGGGGGGGGGTGTCAGTGGCTGGTTTTGATTTAAAAGTTCCCACAGCATTTGCAAGCCAGGTGCTGTGGCATCAGTACTAATGGCTTGGTGGTAACACTGATGCCACTGTTGCTGTGGTTCGATGAGCAGGATAAAATACAGGGAAGTGCATGGCTGGGTATGAAATGTCCTTCTGTTGTAGCATTCCAGGAGGTCGGCACACGTAAGGAAGGTGGTTTGAAGCTCTTGTCCTGTGAGCCCTAAATCTGGGGATCACGGGGAACAGTGCTGTGGGAGCCCATGGGGCTTCAGCAGGCACCATTCCTGCAGCATGGGATGAGGTGGCATAGATGGGGTGTTGGATATGGCCATGGTGGAGGTCAGCAAGGGGGACCACAGAGCCATTGAGCTGTCACAAATGTGGTTTGCTGCTTATGAAATGGAGCATCAGTGTCTGAGTGTTTCACTGCCCTTTCCCAGCAGGGTAGGACAGAGGGGCAGCGGTGGGCTCTCCATGTCAGCTGCACGCAGCGAGCATGAGGTGTCAGAAATCATCGACGGGCTCTCAGAACAAGAGGTGAGACCGGGTTGTCCTTTCTCCTCCTCTTCATTCCTCACTCCACTCTTCTCTGAGGAAGGCAAGAGCGCACTGCCAGGTCCCGTGGGGAAATCAGAGACAAATCCCACTAAGTTCAGGCCACGCTGAGGTTGGGGAGGTTGCCGTGATGCCTAATATGCTTTCTGGACAGGATCCAAAGTGAGGTGTTCATTTAATACCCAGCAGCATCTTTCCAGCCACCCAAGACAGGTAACAGGGCTGTGCAATGGTTCTGCAGGACCTAAACAGGGAGCAAAGCACCCCAGGGAGCTGGTGGTCAGTGGGTAGGATTTGTCAGCATTAAACTGCCTCTTTGGGACCTGAAACCTCAGGATGCTGCTCTTCCTGGGTAGCACCCCACAACCACCTCCTGGCCATTGGTTTAAACTGGAACTGGAGGTGGGAAGGGAAAGGAAGGGAGCCAGCACCCTGGCTGCCGGGTGGAGGGGTTTTTCTGTTTCATTTCATTTTGTTTTGAATGGGCTGTGTGGCTCGACACAGGGGAATCCTATGGAATGAATGGTTTGTATGTGAGCCAGTTGGCCCACATCTTCTGGGAGTGCTCCATTCATCTTGAAACATCCCCGTGACCTTGGCTTCGTTTGGATCTGGTTTCACAAGGGTTCCACTCTCTTGGCACGGCAGCGAGCTGCAGTGAATGGATTGCGTTCGGGAGGGGAGAGCAGCCATTGCCCAGCAATAGCTGAGATGTTTGCAGCCTGTGCACCACGGGTCGCTCCCTGCCCTGGTTCCAGGGCAGTTTGCTGTTAGCCAGTGAAGGCAACGACCTGGAGGACATGGATCTCGGGAGCAGAGAGAAATTTCACAGCTCTGCAGAGGTCGTGGCCAAGAGGAGCGTTAGAGGATTGCCTCCAGCCTCCTGCACAGTGAGTGCGCTGCTGAACGGCACGCTGATAGCATTCTGCTGAGCACAAGGCACTGCTGTGCTTGTCTCAGAGGAGCTTCCAGCCCTTCCAGAGGGTTGGAAGGAGCAGGGAGGTGAGAGCCAGGGAGCATCGCTGGTGGCAGAGGCCAGCTCTCTGCCCCAGCACGCTGCTGGAGAGGAGCGAGGTCTGGCTGCATGCTGCAGGGTGTCTCTGCACCCTGACACCCTTCCAGGCACAGGGAGAGGCCCTGCTGCAGGCAGTGCTCCTGCCTGCTGCCCCTGCCTGCCCTGGCTTTCTCCTTTTGGCTGGGGCTCTCTGTGGCTGCCAGGGTAGATGCTCTGGCTGCAAGCTGTCCTGACCTCCCACAATGAGGTGACACCCCCAGGGCATCTGAGCAGATGGTTGCTCAACGGGAGGTGTCCCAATGAGGATGAGAAACGTGATGGGATGAGTTGAAGCATTCCTGTGTGTGCAGAGAGTTGTGTTTTAGGAAGAGGAGGATGGGTCTGATCAGTCACAGCAGGGAAGCAGAGTGGTGCTGGGCAGGCCTGGTTGCGGGAAGGATTGGACATTACTGTTCTCCCAGGAGCTAGCATCCGGCTGTAGTTTAACATAACAACACTTGAGACCTGGCCTTCCTGGGTTAAGGGCTGGAATCTATGTCTGACCAGTGCCATTGCAGGTGACAGGACTCAAAGGGGTGCTGCTGCTAGCAAAGAGGGTGGTCAGAGCCATCCCCCTGTGCCAGGGGGCCAGCTGAAGGGACAGTCCCAGCGTTCAGGCAAGGGACAGCAGAAATGAGACATCACATTGGCCACTCTGTTGCAAATACTTAAGGAAACCAGTGTGCCCAGTCTGTCCTGTCCTGGTGTGCAGCCAGGGCTCTGGATGAACTTTATGCTTGAATAGGATGGAATAAAGGCGTCAGGTTATGTCCCAGGGTGTTGCAGTGAGAGGAAAGACAGGAATGATGGTCCTGTTGCAGTGACATTTGAAGCCTCTTGGAACAAGATTAGGTTTCCTGTGGAAGGGAAACACTACGTCTCCTCTGCTCTCCCTTTCAATAGGCTTTGAGAGCTGACCTGCTTCCCTTGGAATTTGGGCTGTAGGGCTGAACCCCTCCATATGGCCATGGGTTTGGGGTTTGCATTCCCTGTGCCACTTCTGCTCTGATTTGTCTTGGTCATGGTCAGGAGCTTTTTTGCTTAAGTCAGACATTTCCACATGGTATCTTAAAGCCTTTTATTTCAGACTGAAACATTCATTATTTCCTGGCTGACAGCAATAGCCTCTTTCAGCATTTCATTTACAATTACTCCAGCAATAAAGCTGTCTGGTGCTTGCTTTTGAATTCTCCTGTTCCTCCGCCTGTCCTTTCCTCTCGAACATCTGTCCCCTTCGGTCCCCACGGGCCCGTGGTGCTGACCAACTGTTCTCTCTGCTTTCCCCACAGAACCTAGAGAAGCAGATGCGCCAGCTCGCTGTCATCCCACCCATGCTCTACGATGCTGACCAGCAGCGCATTAAATTCATCAACATGAACGGCCTCATGGATGACCCCATGAAGGTCTACAAGGACCGGCAGGTGATGAACATGTGGAGCGAGCAGGAGAAGGAGACCTTCCGGGAAAAGTGAGTGCAGCCCATACATCTCTGTGTGTAGCCCTTGGGAAGTGTGGGCAGGACCCATGCAATGCTTTGGCCAGGGCCCCAGTGCACTGGGACATGGATTTCCCAAGGAGAATGGATTTCCCCCAGGGATACAGTCGGAGTCTGTGCTGCCTTGGGCCTGGGCACAGCGTGATGGACCTGCACAGAAACCTCAGGCCTTTCTGTATGGTTGGTGTGATCGTGTGCCTGAGCAGAGCTGCTGCTCATGGGGAGAACTAGAAGTTTTTCTGCTTCTGCATTCCCATCCCCATCAGCCAGTTGAAGGATAGCACCAATGAAACCCAGTGCTCCATACGCTCATCTGGTTTTGGGTTTACATGCTGTCTTTTGAGCACTGTGTGTCCAGGGGGATTCTTGGGGCTGTCAACATCCAGCTCCCCCATGTAGGCCCCCTCAGGCTGCAGCTTCCAGCTGGTGCCGGTCCCTCGGTGCTCCATCCTGCTGTCTGCAGGATTTGCCACCAGCTGCTGTTTCCATGGATGCATTCCCACATCAGACACATGCAGACTCTGGCTGCGGTGCTTTCTCCTGTTTGCGAGCAGTGCTGGAGAACAGCTTCACTTTGTCAACTGTGAGATCACTTGGGGGATTGCTGATCCCTTCCCTTGGGTACCACTGTGCTGTCAGCCAAGCTGTGGGTCCCAGCTTAGCCTCACATCCAGACTCCCCTGTATCTCGTAGCCCAGTGGGGGCCCAGGTTGGAGGACCAGAGCATCCTTGGTGCCCCAAATGTATCAATGTGTCTGTGAAAACACAGCTGAAGTTCAACTCCAGCTCACTGCTGTGGACATGTGGGACATGGAGGTATGTGGGTGCATCACAGCCACCTCATCCCTTGCAGCAGCGCTTCCTTAATCTGGCCTCCATACGATGATGGGATAGCTCCATGGATAAGCAGCAGGCCCACAGCCAGCCAAGCTGGAAGCTCCTCCATGTCCGGGATCCTCCTCCTGTCCCTGCTTGTGACGACTCCTGTTTGCTGCTGAAATAACTAATTGCCAAGGCAGACCGAAAGGGAACAAAACAGGCAAACCGCCTCCAAGCCTTTGGTAGAGGAGAATCCTCATTGCTAATTAGCCTTAAAATGTGACACCCCAAACAGCAAGGCTTGCCCGCAAATGACGCAAAGACTAATTACTTGGGCTTTAATGGCGGGGCCGTGCCTGCCTAATGGGGTTGGAAGAATCCACACCCAGCTCATGCATCCTGCTGTGCACGGTGGTTTCTGTGTCATCACCGTGGGTGATGCAGAGCTTGAGGCATAAATACAGCAGGATTTCAGGGCTCTCACAAAGCTCATCTGAAGAGATTGGTACTTAGGAGCTGTAAGGAGGGCCATGGGTCCTGTCCCAGCTCCCGCCCCGATCCCAGTGTGCGGGTAGCTGAGCTGCCTGGTGTGCTGTTGCTCCTAGCCTGGGTTTTTAAAGTGAACCAGACTTGTGTCATCTGTGATTGTGACCCAGAGCTGGCCTCTTCCTGAGACCATGAAAACCTGATGTAACCTTTTATTCAGCCTTCACGGTGAGGGCTCTTGGAGAAAGCAGCCAGGCACTGCAAGGCTGACAAGCTCCAGGTCTGAACTATCTTAGCTGTCAAAACATAACCACAAGGAAGAGTCTGATTTGATTTGCTTCTGGGCAGGATTTCAGGTCTCTCTATTGAGCGCTCATCGCCAGGGGGGCTGTGGTTCGCTGGTGAAGGCTGTGGTACCCCTTGGTCCTGCTCAGGCACCAAGGCCTTGTTGTGCTGGGCACCATAAGAAGACAACATCCATCCTTGTTATGGGGACACAATCTGGCTTATGAAAAACAACGTGTTGTTGTCTGCATTGCTCACAAGGCTGTGTTAACATCACTGATAACATGGCCTTGAAAACCCCGTCTGTTGGTTTGTGCTGGGTGCCTCTCCAGCTCTGTGTTCTGATTCCAGCCTGTCTGAGCAGCCCAGCTCTTATCTTTCCCCTCACCCCCAGCATTTCTGGTTTCTTTTTTCTCTTTCACATGTTTTGGGGGGGATCTCTCTTGGTGTCTGTATTATATCTGGGGAGGTAATTTTTACCCTTCAAGTGACAGAAAGGTCACAGTTGCCTTTGGGATAGAGATTGGGGACCCCATTAAGCACCCACACCACAGCTCACCCACCTCTTCCCTGTGATCCATTTCCATGGGGCATAGGGCCGGTAGCTCCAGAGAGCTGACAAACCACACGTGCCACACTGACCACTCTGCTCCTGTGGGCAAAGCCCATGCTGGTGGCAGCCCTGGAGCAAAGTCACCACTCACCAGGCTCCTCGTGCTTTGGTGATGCAGTGGTTAACCATCCTCCTGCCAGCAGCAGCACCTCCTGCCAAGGGCTTGCTGGCCTGAGATGCTTCCCCACCAGCTAAGCAAAGGGATTTGTTGGAGGAGACATCTCTGTGCCTGGGGACATCTACCCGCAGTGGGTGATGCACCCTCCTGGGCTGCCGGAACCAGGGGTGATCCTGCTGACAGCTCCTCACAGCCACCGTGGCACTGGGGATCTCTTGAGCAACTCGGCAACGTGGCAGCTTCCTCCTGGGGCTTGGGTTTCCCTTCCTGTCCTCTGCAGCTGCTCCTGACAGCCCAGCCAGGCCTGGGGTCCCGCTCAGCAGCAGGGGCACCCCCAGCCATGCTGCAGGATGCTTTGGCATTGATGGCAATTCTTCACCCTTTCCTTGCCAGATCCTGAAGCCTCAACCATGTGTGCAGCTCTGTGCCCATCCTGCCATTGGTACGGGCTTGGGTGTCTCTGGGAGCAGCCCCCCTGCCCTCTCCCACCCTGTGATGAACATCTGCTCATTGGAGCTGCTGACCAGCCCGGCTGCAGTGGGCTAAATATAAAGTTCCTGTCTTTCTGGGAAGCTGAGCAGCAGACAAATACTTTCTCAAACCCCTGGGTCCCTCAGGGAGGTGCTCTTGCTGCTCCAGGCACACAGGGCATGGCAGCCCAGCTGCAAGAGGGTCAGAGCCAGAGCCCATGCTAACCCTCTCCCTTTTGCTCCTCAGGTTCATGCAGCATCCAAAGAACTTTGGCCTGATCGCATCCTTTCTGGACAGGAAGGTAAGCATCCCTACCTGGCTTTAACCTGCCTCACGCTGTCTCTTCTCCATCACATCTCCCTCCCTTTGGTGCTGGAGCAGCCAGTGGATGCTGGGCACCTGTGGGTGGTGGTGGCTCAGAGTCCTGGTCATGGTCCAGATGCCTCCTGGCTCCCTGCAGAGACAAGGGACTGAGTCAGCGTCAGGGAGTTTGGATCTGGGAGATGTGTGAATGCATCCAGCCTGGCATGTAGGCGTTGCAGCCCTCCGTGATCTGCCTGGCGAGCTGCTTCCCAGCATCTCCTGGAGCAGTTTGCACCAGCCAGGCTGTCACACAGCAGGGTGGGTACGCTGCTGCCCAGCACAAAGCAGACGGGTCCCCTCTTTGCTCAGGTTAGGGATGCTGAGGATGGGCTGAGTCCCAGTTCCTCCAGCAGTTTGGGTTGGTGTCATGTAGGCACACACACCTCCCCTTTTGTTTAGCTTGCCGGAGGGCCTGACCTTTCCCAAGCCTCTGTGTCGTGCTTCTGGGACTTCTCCTTTTTGCTGATGGAGGAAAGGTTTGAAAAAGAGATCTGAAGGGAGAGCAAGTCCCTGTTCCCATTCTGAGCAAGGCCAGGTACCTTCTGTGGAACTGGCCATATGGGCAGATCCTGGACAAACAGCCTGGAAAGACAGTGGTGGACCAGGTGCTCCCCTGAGCAGGAGACATTTGAGAGCTACTTGTAGGTAGCTGCATCCTCTGCCCATCTCATACAGTGTTTGATCTACACAGTGTCCACTCTCTCTGGGGGAACCCCTCTGCTTTCACGGGCTGACCTGCAGAGCTTCCATCCACCCTAAATTATTCTCTGATTCTGCGTGATTCAGGCTGGGGAAATAATTCCTAAGGCCTTGCCTTTTCTTTCCAAAGCAGCAAGCAGGCAAAGGCCAGCAGCAACCTTGTGCTGCTGCTGTTGCTGTAAGATCCCAGGCGCTTTCCAGCCTTTCCCACTTGCTGAAGCCGAAAGCGGTGGGACTTGGATGATGCTCACAATCCAGCCTGTGTTCCAAGCTGTAAAATGTCTTCTAATTTTATTTGTACTCATTTGTAAATCAGGCTGTAATTATGATACAGAACACATCCATTATCCTGTTGGAGAGAGATGCAAAGTATGGCTCAATGTAATGAATTAATAGATTTTTAAATTGCATTATAAAAAAAATAGTGATCTTAGCCCTTGGAACAGATGACTGTAAGTTTTTGTGTTCTTGTGTGTGTGTGTATAATCAGGGCTAGATTAGAAAGAGATCCAATTAACACTTTAAAAGTTGCAATCTGGTTTTGCACATGGTTCCTCTCCTTGCACAGGGATAGGGAGAGCGCAGCCCCTGGGAGCACGCAGCAGCACCCTGCTCCTGGGTGCTTCCAGGTGCGATGGGTCTGTTCATGCAGATCCTGGGTATGAAAGTGTAGCCCAAGACCAGCGTTCAGGTGCCAGGACAGTTCAGCAAAGGACTTTTCCCAGTGTTGAACACTCTGCTGCTCAGGATCAGGATACGTCCCAGCAATGGTTCCATGTTTTCCTAACGGGTCTAATCTGGGATGGTGCTCATAGAGCCAACTGCTGGACTTGCAGTTGGGATGGTGGCTCCTGCGTGCCAGGATCTCAGTCTGACCATGAGAAAGTCATATGAGCTAGTTAAGCCAGTGAGCTTAACATCTGCACATAACACGAGCTGACAGTTGCATGGCAGGTTGTGCCTCACGTAACCCCGACAGAGGGTGACTCTCCTCCTGCCTTCAGTTGCCACAGTCATCTGGGGTCAGCCCTTTCCCCGTTAGCATCCAACATGGGGTGCTTTCTGCTCTGCACCCCATCTCCATCTCAGCATGCCTGTGGGATGGCCATAGTCTGTCCCTTGGAAGAGCTCAGTGTTTTTACTAGGACAGCGTACATTGCTCTCCTCTTCCAGCTCCAATGAAGGGCTTTGGGAGGGAGGTGTTTGGGTTGCAGATCTTCAGAAGCAGCAGGAGACCTGGTGATGGCAGGGCCTGAGCACTGCTCCTTGAAGTCTGCGCCCTGATAGTGCCATGGGATGGGACCTGCTGTTCCCTGACTCGCTGTGTCCTTGCAGACGGTGGCAGACTGTGTCCTGTATTACTACCTGACCAAGAAGAATGAGAACTACAAGAACCTTGTAAGAAGAAACTACCGGAGGCGTGGGAAGGGCCAGGTAAGAGCTGGAGGAACCCATGGAAACATTGGGCTGAGTGCTTTGCACTGCTTTGCACTTGCAGCCTCTCAGCAGCACCTTCTCTGAGCACCCCAGATGCTGCTTTCCTCCCCTCCCCAGATGGAGGTCTCTCGTGCAGGCTGCAACAGGGCTGTGGTTTTGCTCTGTGTAGCTTTTCAGAACGTGCTGTTTTCTGGTGGTTGATGTTTGTCCGTTCCTATGCCAAGGTCACAGTAGCTTTCAAAAAGCAAATAACAAATCCAGGATGCTTGGAAAAGGAAGGGGATGGAGCGAATGCAGAAAACCTGGCTGCGTGTCAGGGGTAGCACAAGGTTGCCCGTGCAGCCTGTAGCTGCGGGCAGGAGCCAAGTGGAGCCTCTTCTCTCTCCACTCTGGAGACAGCAGCCAGTGCGCTGATGGGGATGGGGCTCCTGGGAGCTGGTTTGGGGTGCTTCTACCTTGCACCTGTGCAAAGAGGAGAATGAGCTGAGTGGGAATGACTTCTGGTGACCACCTGAGCAGAGGCTTATCAGTCTGTAAGAAGTGCTGGAGGGTGTCTGAGGTCTTCTTGAGGGCTTGCAGATTTGGTGCTGTAGCTGGAGGAGACCCTTAACTCTTTGGATGAGGGCCGGGCCGGTACCTAGGACACCATGAGATGCTGGGGTAGGTGACTGAATCAACCCTTGGCCGTTACCATGGCCAAGATAGAGATCTAGACATGACCATGCCAGTGTTGCTGCTGATACCACGATACCCAGATAAGTGCTAACCTCTTGGGCAGGTACCTTGTCCCTGCAAATGCTTTCAGCCAGAGGAAGGTCCCTCAGGTCCATCCCCAGGTCCATGAATGAACAATTATCCATGTCATGAGGAGAGTGGGGTGACCACAAAGGAAGCATCTCTCCAGATAACGTGGAGATAGGGATGGAAAAGCTGGCCTGGCCTGTGCCACCACTGACATCAGCGGCTCCTCACGCTGCATGGCCATAAAAAGCAGCACTTGGGTCGAGGTCCTGATTGGGAGGCAGATAGGTAGCCTCGCTCCAATTTGATTTCTGCAGCATTAAGACATCAGAATAGCTAGCACATGACGAATGTCATGGACAGGGCCCAATTTTCCCTTCTTTCTTTCAGACACATTAGGGATGGATAAAGCCCTATTAGATTATCCAGTCCCTCTCCCAGCAAACACAGGGTGGTTCCCTCCAGTACATTTTTATAGTGTTTACCATGGTCTGTTTTGTTAGATCACAGCAACTAGAACATGAGACCACATTTGTTTCTTGTTAGTGGTGGAGACATTTAGCATAGCAAATTCTGGTTTCAGTGTGAAGTTGAGCAAGTGTGGAGGGAGAGAGGCAATCTAATGCTCCTCTCTGCATCTGCCTACCTCCCGCTGTGGCCACAGACCTGCCTTGGCCTGCACCCAGCAGGTACTATTTGTGTTTTGGGGTTTAAGGGTATCCAAAGCATCGCTAGCTACAGTATTTCCCATGGTGTTTTCCCTTGCTTATGAGTCTGGTCCAGCCTGGGCAGTGGAGATTGTGTGCTGCTGTTTGGAGCCTTGTTCTGTTCCAGCTTTTGGGAGCAGGGACTTAACTGCATCCCATAGTACTTACTTTACAACCGTAGTAAAAGGCAGGACTATTTTTGCAAGCAGGGGGCTGCAATATTAGTAACTTATTAAGAGTGAGGCTGCTGGGCACTGAAGGGAGCAGATTCACGTCCACTGCAGCAGACCTCAACCAGATCATTATTGATTCTGAAAGAAGAATCAGATCCTTGAGTCAGTGCTCAGGTGGAAGGTGGGATGTTCAGGCAAGCTGTGAGACCCAAGGGCTGCTTGCATGAATAGTAGTGGGAAAGAAGTGCAGAGCTTAGAATCCAGCTCTCCCACAGAGATCTTGGGGGGTCTTGAGATGCACACTTAGTGCTGTGACACCTCCAGTATTTCTATATGTTGCTTGCATCCATTTCCTGCAAGGCTGCAAGCAGGGGAGCACTGGGAGAGCCTACAAGCAGGCTTGGGAAGGGCATGATGCTGTGGAGGGGAGGCTCTTGCCCATGTAGCCTCATAGAGAGTCAGAGCTGTGCTGGGGAGCAGCAGTGTGGGGCTGCTCCAGCACCAGGTGATCTCCCTTCACCTGCCCAGTCTCAGCCATCAGAGATGGTGACAGAATGCAGGACGGGAGACATGGTGGGACAGCATACAGGGAGGAGTGGGGCTGTGAGCCATCCTCCCCCAGCACTGGGAGACATGGTGCTGTGTTCCCTGTGCTCCAAGCACAGGTTTTGCTGCTGATAAGGGTTCAAGCAGTTAAACGCCAGAAGTGAGCTATAATTGATTTTAGAGGAGGGCAGGCGAGGTGGACTTCAGATCAGATGAGAGGAGTGGATGGGGTCTGGCACAAATAGCATTTCAAGTGGCCCTGCACTGTTTTCTCACTGCTTTCCTCATGGAGAGGCTGGTGGTCTTCCTTGCTCTTGGAGGAGCTTGAGAGCAAAGTGGAGATAATTACACGGAGAAACAAAGCTCCTCTGGTGTCAAGGCTCTCATTGTGGCCTACTTATTAAAAGTCCATTAAAAAGTAAGAATCCCACTGCTCCCTGGCTGATGGTCCCCGGGCAAAGGATATTCCTCATAAAACTGCTACTTAGTGCTGAAAATCTTCTGCCAAAAGCAGGGACTTCGCACGCTTCTGCTTCCAGTTTGTCAGAACGTGGAGCAGCCGCCTGCTCCGAGGCAGGGTGCATGGTCCTGCCATAGAGCCTGCCCCGGTGCTGGTGGGTGAAAGGTGTTCCCATCTGATGGATCATTGTGTGGAATATTTGGGCTCCTGAGATAAAGAGCCTTTCTAAACTAATCCACTGTGTTCAGGTACGGAAAACGCCATTGAACCCTGCAAGGGGGGGATCACTAGGAAGAGGAATAACTTCCAAGTGTGTAATTTGTCACTGGAAACAAAAGAAAATAAAGAAGTTTGTGTCATGGTAAAACAATCTGATCCAATAATCAGCATGAATCTGATGAATTCATCTGCATGATTTTGAATGAGCCTGTATTGAAAGGCCCTTGTGTAGATGAAAGCCCCTTTGGGGGCTATTGCAGTCATTCTTTAGGGTATTCCAGAGAGCTTCGCTGCAAATGCCCCCAGTCCTGTAGTGGGGGCACCAAAAATTACCTCAGGGCGCTGACGAGTTCTGGAGAAGGACTTTTTCCAAGGGTGTGTAGTTACAGGCCAAGGGGAATGGCTTTAACCTGCCAGAGGGGAGATTGAGATGAGCTCTTAGGCAGAAGCTCTTCCCTGTGAGGGTGCTGAGGCGCTGGCACAGGGTGCCCAGAGAAGCTGTGGCTGCCCCATCCCTGGCAGTGCTCAAGGCCAGGTTGGACACAGGGGCTTGGAGCAAGCTGCTCTAGTGGAGGATGCCCCTGCCCGTGGCAGGGGTTGGAGCCGGATGAGCGTTAAGGTCCCTTCAACCCAAACCAATCTGGGATGCTATGAAAATCGAAGCTAGGCAGTTAGTGCCATGTGTCTCCTCTTTGGGCAAGCTGCTCAGCCGGGCTGCGGTAGCACAGGTGTTGGGCTGAAGCTGTGCTGGAGGAAAAGTGCCTTTATTTCAGCATAATTATTCCGTGCACAGCGCAGGGTTTTTATTCCACAGTATATTCCCTTTGCTTTTGGAGCAGCGGTGCCCACGTCGCTGCAGCGCGCAAGTCGCGCTTCCTGTGTCAGTGCTGGTGAATTCCCAGGGGAGAATCCCTGGAGCTTCCCCGCAGTGCCTTGATGGGGAGACGGCTGGTCATCCCGCCAGGAAAAGCCGCTCCAGCAGCGGGTCAGTCACCAGCGGCGATGAGCGGCCGAGGAGCCGCCTGCCCGCCCTGGGCTGACTCAGATGAAGTCATGTGTGGATGAATGGATGGAGGGATGGATGGATGGAGCGGGACGTGCCGTCACACCGTCCCCCTTGGCGCTGCTGTCAGACAGTGCTCATGTAGCCCCTGGCGGAAGGGCCCTGTGTGTGTGAGCGCTGATGCTTTCGAGGACTCACTCCATGGCACCCGGGGGGACCAGCTCCACCCCGACCCCCCATTTCTCAACTGGGGAGCAGTGCCAGAGCTGTACTGGTGGGGCTGGGCCCTGTGGTGTGACCTGGCCTGGCAGCCAGCGTGGTCCCTGCCAGGGCTGACAGCCTTTCCCAGGCCCACCCTCTTCCCGTCCCCTGCCAAAACCCAAATGGAATTATCCGTCCCGCCGCTGTCCCGCCCTCCCCAAACACAAACCATTCCCCTCGCTGACGCGGATAAACAGCCCCAGCCTGGAGCTGTATAAACAACACCAGTACTTGATTCATGGAAGCCCTGTCCTGGCTGGCAGGGCTCGGACTGACACATGGGTGCTGCCTGCCCACAGGTCCGTGGCTCCATGCTCCCCATCCCTGATGCAGGAGCAGAGCACCCGCTTAGGTCCAACCTTGCTGCGCCACCACCTCTCCTCCATCCGCAAGGATCGGGTCTGGAGCTCAGCGAGCTGCCTCTTACACTGCACATCATGCATGTGCCCCTGCTCCACTGACTACAGTGGATAATGAGGTGAAGGGTAGTTATATCTGGGAAGTGTTTGACTATGATCAGTCAAGGGAGTGGCTCCTCATTAGTGACAAAGGACTCGACAGCTTCTCTTTCAGATGTGGGGAGATAACCTGTCATAAAATCCTGGTTTAATAATGCAGCCTCTCACCCTGAAACAGGCCTGGATGTGGCTGCTAAACTTTGCTGCCACGAACACCTGTAAATACATTCCGCAAGCATTTAAGCCTGTGCTGACTTTAGTGCCGTGTTTTAAAGAGTACTGGGGTTATCTGCAGAGCAGGTTTGTGATGGAGCAGTTTGCCTGGGATGTCAGTGGCAGGGTGTGTTGTGATGGGATGTTGCTGTGAGGTGCCCTGCTTGCTGTCCTGTACCCCAGGTAAGCCCCATCCTGCTGTTGTGTGTAGACTGA